TTTATTTGATGTTCTACTCTTTTTTGTTCAGTCAGGTGTAGTAGATCTTCGTTTCTGATGATATTAGGCCAGAAAATACGAACAATTCGTCGTAGACATTTATTAATAAAGAGCTGCAGTTTATCTAAGGGTTCTTGTCACTTTCCAGGTTTCACATCTATAGAGTAGAACAGACATGACATTTGACTGGAATATGCGAATCTTTGTCCTTGTAGTATACTCGAGAGATCTCCAAATAGGGTTGAGCATGCTTGTTGAGCTTTTCGTATCCTCATTCATCCTCTGTACCTCCGATTTCTGTTATGCACTTCCAAGATACGTAATTTTCCACATTTTCAATCTGCATGTTGTTGATAATAAATAGCGTGTTGTTTCTTGCATTTACTCTCATGGATTTGGTTTTACTAATATTGATTTTCAAACCTACAATATTGGCTTCAGTGAAAAGTGTTTCCAATTGATCAGCCACATCTTGGAACCTTTGTCCTAACAGGCAGATATCGTCGGCGTATTCCAGATCGCTTAGGCGTGTGGTTAACGTCCACTGTATCCCTCTTGTGTCGGATTCTAGTTTGGAGAGAACATAGTATACTGCTATTTTAAAAAGAAACGGAAAAGGGACGCAGCATCCCTGGCTGATTTCAGTAAGTATGTCAAATTCGTCGCTGTTGATTCCATTGTGTGTCACGCTGCATTTCGCCTCAGTGTACAGTGACTTAATAATGGAAATTATTTTATGCGGAATATTTCTTAGCTCTAAAATTTTCCATAAAGCAGCATGAGATAAGTTGTCAAAGGCACGCTCGAAGTCTTTACCCCTTTTCCAGCCCGCTGGAATTCGGTTTGTTTCCCACACCTCTCAGATTATGGGGAGCAAAAGTTCAGCAGTTAGATGTGGATCAGTTTTAAGTATTTCGACAGCAATGTTATCGATTACCGGATACTTGTTATTTGTCAGAGATTTGATAGCTGTTATTATCTCCGTTTTGGAAAGGGACTCGCAAGATATACGCATGTCTACATTCTGCGGAATTTCAATTTCATCTGCGTTTTTCCTGGTCGTACCTAGCATCTCCTGAAAAAGCTCTTTCCATCGCTCTACTTGGTCATTTGTTGTAGTAAGTAATTCGCCTGTTTTGGATCTTACAATGGTTGAACAGTTGACCCATTTTTTATTAGTCGTCTAGTAATTTGGTATAGCTCTCTAGATATGTTGTATTGTGCAGCTGTTTCAGCTTATTTTGCCAGTTCTTCAGCTATTTCGTCTCTTTGCTTTATTTATTGTTTCATATTCTAGTTGTCGGTTCGCTCTTTCTTCTACAGTTCTTGCTTGCAAAATGTCTTTCTTTTGCTTTTTCTCTCTTTTTTTTTGTTTTCTTTCCTCGATAAGATTCTTCTTTGTGATATTTTGCTTTTTACTGTTTTTCACCATTTGTTCTATACATAAATATGTTAATTCCATTCTATTTTCCTATTATTGTTGATCCATTTTTTTGTTCCTTATATCCCAGATCTTAAATTTCCAACTTTTTATTTTTCTTCATCAAACATCGTTCCATATTGTCAAGGGGTGTCGCTCCAATTTGAACTTTCAATATCAAAATCTGGAGAATTCCAAGCTTCTTCCCCCACCACTCACCCTTGGTAGAGAAGGCATGAAAACCTTCACTTTAAAGGGCTACTACTTATTTCAAATTATATAAATTGTAAACTTATCAATTGCATCAGTAAGTATAGGGATTCATTGACAATCTGCGAAAATTTGGATTCCTCATATTTTCAAACAAAAGAGATATGATTTAAAAAAAAATTAGTAACTTGGCATCTGTTGGTTGTAGAAGGGTCTTTTCTGTTTTTGCCTTTTTTTATAAAAAAAAGGGGCGACCTGACAGTACTCGATACGCATGTTTCCTTAACTATGTCTCCCCTATGATTTAACCCTTGAGTGCCAAGCAACTAAAAGTAATGGAAATGCCTAAGCTAGGTACCTTAGGAACCCCAACTAATTTTTATGTAAAATGTCAACTCTTCAGCAAACTGTTAACAAAGCTTACTTTTTATGATTATTTCACATAAATTTACTTATCTAGATATGTATTACTAAATCTCTCAACACCTAGCTTGTTTTCTAGTAGAGGTGGGCAATTAGCGTCCGTCCTCCGTCATGTTTACTTACAAGTATTCCGCAGTTACTCAGAGCTGTTTTTATATATAAAAGAAGATTCCTGCATGTGGCATGCTTGTTCATATTGTTTCTAGCAAGTTCATCTCCCAGTTGTAACAAAAACATTCGTCGACGAGAAAGAATTTGTTTTTTCAGCTAGGATTTTTTCATTCCATATGATAAATGAATTCAAAGTACAAATCTAAGATTTGTGAAGAGTCTGTTGGGCCATCTAGACGTTTTTCAACTACACGAATATTCTCGTATGTTTGCCAGCGTTGTCCACCCCACCTTTGGTCCTGTTATAATCTAATATAATAAGAGGCTTGTTCTCTCCATCTTTTTCCACACTATCGTCTATGTGCTGACTTGATAAAATGTGAACCATTTTATTTATCTTCGGAATGTATGATACCATTTAATGTTTAAAAATAATAGTGTATCTGGTTTCTTTTTGCGAATGGTACCTAGTAAAGTTAGTTGCTTTGTTAGTATATAGTTGGCTAGTGGAACAGTAGTGAAAAAGTTATCAGTGTTAATGCTCGCCTGCTGTTATGGTATGGTTTTGCTGAATTGGTTACTACTCGATAGTCTTGGTATTTCTTTGGTTGACCCCAGGATTCCTGCCAGTGTATACTTAAAAGTTGAACAAATAAGAAGTCTTGGTATCAGTTCAAATTTTAATGCTATACTGCCTGGTTTCGATTTGATAAATTGTCGAAAAGGACATTTTCCTTGAAAGGAAACTAATTGTTCATCAATTACTATTAAACTGGGAATAAGCCACAATTAAAGATAAAAATACGTTTATTGACGTTTCAATTTCCACTTCGGAAGTCGTACTCAAAATACAAAGTTTGTATTTTGAGAACGATTTCCGAAGTGGAAATTGAAACGTCAATAAACGTATTTTTATCTTTAATTGTGGCTTATTCCCAGTTTAATAGTAATTAATTCACAATGCCACAAGAAAATAGCTTCAGAACAATATTAAGAAACCGTTATGGGCCCAGCGTTATTCAAAATTTTAGGAGATTGGAAATTCTATACAAGAAACTGGCACACTGTCAAAATTCAATTAAATTTTTACGAAAATGGTTTGTATTTTGAGAACGATTTCCGAAGTGGAAATTGAAACGTCAATAAACGTATTTTTATCTTTAATTGTGGCTTATTCCCAGTTTAATAGTAATTAATTCACAATGCCACAAGAAAATAGCTTCAGAACAATAATTGTTCATCAATTCATTCGTATAGGTCGAAGGTCTTTAGACAGTTGTTGAAAAACATATCCCAAATTTCTCTAAATATAACTTTAGTTTATCTGTTTCTTTCCTTTTTTCTCGTATACTCTTGTCATCAAATCTCAAAAATACCAAAAGTTGTTCAAATCTGTCCCTGGACATGGCAGCAGTGAAAAATGATCGACGTATAGATGTGTCAGTAGATCACATCTCTCTTGTAAATTCTTTTTTACATCTGAGTGCATCTACTTTGATAAGAACGTCGATAAAACAGTCCAATTATTATTAGGCTCTTTTTATTCCAGTCGTCAAAATATCTATCTCCTTCTTTATTTTTGTAACAAATTATGTCTTTTATTGCTGTTATAAATAAATTAAATATTTCTATAAATATACTGGCACTATTACTATACTGAGTGATACCTGGACGAGCATCAACTATGTTTTGTTGAAGAAAAGGAAGGAAAGGGACGACAAAACCAGCGGTTAATTTGGGGACTGCCTCATCTATGTCACATTCATCAACTCCTTCTGGTTCCTAGTCTGAGTCCTCTTCACTTTTAATTTCTACATTGTCTTCTGTTTCTGAACTCACGTCTCTAAGATCCTCATCGTTTTCTGCAACTTCATCATAATCCAGTTCCGAGTCATCTAATTCATCATTACAATTTTGAATAATGATTTCTAACTCCTCTTGCGTTAACGGTATACATTTGAAACGTAGATGCCTAAGTGGGATACTGGCGGAACCCCCAGCGCACTTTTTTGTCGTAACAAATATTCAACACGCGCCAGGTCTTGCATAAACTAAAAATAAGTGAAGAGGCTTTGTTCTTGTACCAATGCATATGCCAACTGTTGCCAACAACTTCTGCAATTAAAATATATATTAAAGAACATTTTATTACTGGGGTTCCTGAGATACCTATTATATTTTTTTCCGCCTATTTATTTTTCTAGACTGAGGTACTTGTTTTACTTAACAGAGTAGCAATGGTCATTGTTTGATCATAAAAGTTAAAAAAAGTATTTTCAATTAAAAATACCCTTTCGGGCTACATCACAGAATGTTTTCGGACTAAAGAGTCCATTATCAAAGTAATATTACCAGGTATATATGAGTCAAGCCACTAAATATCTGGGTAAAAACTCTTAAAACGTTACAAAATTAGTTTTGTGTTAATAAACCATGGGTTCTAGAGGTACCATCTAGAACCCATTCAGACAAGGTCTGAGGGTCAGCAACAACTCTTATTGGGAGTCTTACATTGCCATGCAGGATATCTGTTAAATACATTAACATAACAACGTATTTTTAACAATAATGTAAAACGAAACAAATTTTGTCAATTTTAAGGGTTTTTACCCAGATATTTAGTGGCTTGACTCAGTATACTGTATACCTGGTAATATTACACTGACAATGGACTCTTTAACTCCGAAAAAGTTCTGTGATGTAGCCCAAAAGGGTATTTTTAATTATATATCTTTTATAAAGGATTTTTAACCAAAACTTCATTTGACTCATGGTATACCTACTAACTACCGAAATTTCTTTTTCCTTCTGAATTTAATTTTTAATTATTTTTTAGGTTGCGAAGCAATATGGTATACCTTTTGTAGAAACCTCTGCAAAAACAAGAATGGGAGTTGACGATGCCTTCTACACATTAGTTCGAGAAATTCGCAAGGACAAATCAAATAGGAAAAAATGGTCTCATGGCCACGGACATGGGCGTGGGCCTTTTAAGCTCCGGTGCTCAATACTGTAGGTAGACTGGACTTGTTACTAGTGATCTCTTTCTATTTCTTGGAAAGATCGGGTGATATCTGTTATAAATTTATTATAACAAATCACTTTGATTTTTAAATTAGCTACAGATTAAGAAAGTGGTGAGGGGGTAATGATTTTTTACAAAACTGGTGGATTTCTTAGTAATGTGCAAACATAAGCCAAATGCTTTATTATCTTCTTCCTCTCTTTTTATTTTAAAATAAAATAAGTTAGTATATGTTACGTTATTTTTAGAATTCAGCTTTATAAACATTAAATTCTTTTATTAAAAAGAATCGTGCAATATTATTCTTGGTTTGTATAAACCATGGATGGAGGCTTTGTGATCTTTAGCATAAAAAAGCATTAGTAAATGTGATTAATAAGTTTTTCAATACCTAGAAAGCATATTTTAAATAATAAAAAGTAACAACCATCACAATTGCTTTTGATATTGAGACGGTGCCTATATTTCTTCATGAAACATAATTTTTTTGGTAATTTTTCAAAAAGTTTATAACTTTATTTGACGATATCATTGTAGTTTACAATTTGTTATGTCATAATAGACTTTTATGACTGTCAAGAAAACTTATGTTGTTTTTTTCATGATATTTTCACTTTAGTGGGTAAGGTACGCATAAGTTTCTACGACATGACATTCGTTATTGCCTATAAGTTAAGTTTTATGATAAAATTAAAGGTTTCCAATCAAAATGCTTGTGGTTATATTATTTTACGGAATTTGGAGTTCGACAACGTTCTTTCGTTCTCTTGTTACTTGGGATTTAATAATTGTGATGTTTGTTACTAGATTTGGTTAACTAATGGTTTTGACGTGAAAATTTAGGGTCTCATATTGTTACTGCTGCATTGTGCTTCTGTTGACGTTGTGGAATCGCTGACAATCAATGACTGGCAACGAATCATTTACAAAATCTATTAATACTTTCTCTACTATCTTCTATTTATTCCAGAAATGTCACAAAAACTGTAAAAAAAACTGATTTATTGTCTAACAATACGACTACATTCCAAAAGCATACAAATTTGGAATAGTTTATTGAGCTTTTTTATATTTTCTTATCATTAATTAATAATAAAGTCAGCATTATCCTCAACTGCCCTCTTCTAGAATGGTTTCCTGCTCTTTAATATTTGCCCTGGGTAATGTTAGGTTCACTGTAAGGCAGTATACCTCAAATTTCCTTTTCCATTTTTTACGCGTAGGTGAGGAGAGGTTTGAAAAGAGTTATGTATAGTAGCAGTTTTTTTTATTTTGAATCCCAAAGAAGCTTAGAAAAAAATGCGATAATGGGCTGGTTCCTTTATAAAATGTGACATCTACGTACATTTTTAGAGAAAAAATGCTGCCCTTCTAAAACAAACCATGAAGCTGACTTTTGACCTGGTTTTTCAACTGAACAAAAAACTAAAATTACTTGAGAATGATTGAGATCCATTTTTTCTTGAGGTTCCTTGTTTTTTTCTTCATGATGGTTGTCCGGTTTTAAATTTTTGGTAGTGTTCTTACTTTATTCATATTTTGCAAGTGGTTGTACCATTCTTACTGGCTTTCAGCGATATTATCCTGTTTTAAAATATCATTCTGTCTTGTATATACTTTTGTGAGTAATAAATGATCTAATTTTATGTTTTAATAATGTATACACACTATTCAATTTATATTATGGAAAACCATTTCTTATTGGTAAATATACAGGCTAAACAAAACTGCTTGTACCGGAAATAACTTTTCGCCCTCATTTTTTTCTTCCATTTGAGTTTGTGGTAATTTTTTTTATAAAATTTGTTGTTCTCCTCCAATATCACGAAACAGGATTCATCAGAATATTTATTTTACCCATTACTCAAATCATGAATGTGTTGCTTGTGTGAGTCCATTTCAAATAGGTAAATAAATAATAAATAAGTCTTACTCACAATCAATTTAATTTAACTATTCAGACGACCGGTTTCGCTTTCATGCGAATGCAAAGCATCTTCAAGTCTCGATACAAAGTTAAATAAATGATGCCGGTACTCTATTAATTGATTAAATTAAGATTAAATTATTCATCATTTATTTAACTTTGTATCGAGACCTGAAGATGCTTTGCATATTGTAGAAAGCGAAACCGGTTGTCTGAATAGTTAAATTAAATTGATTGTGAGTAAGTCTTATTTATTATTTCTTTACCTATTACCCATTACATTTTAAATCGATTTTATCTTCTATTCGACAAGTATATACCCAGTGTCTTGACAAATCTTTGTCTTCTGGAAATATGAAGTAGTTGACATCAGTACATGTAAGCGTTTTGATTTTATTTTTACAAGTAGCCACAAACTGTCATTTTAGTCTTGATATGCTACTAATGTATGGATTTTTAAATCCACAAATATACGAGAAATTCTTTGAAGAACCATGCATTCAAACGGAGGATTTTAGTTCCCAAGTGACGTAGATGCGCGACTCGGTACAAATTTAAGAATCACAACTCGCTTAGGTTAAGACCTGCGCATTAGGCGACCAAACTTGCGCTTGTAAGCCTCCCATTTTGCCTGTGCTTCCACTTTATAATGCTTAATTGGAAAATGTACAACTGATAGTTAAATTTTTATTGGTAATATCAGAATAATTGGTAACTTTGAATATAATCTGGACTTTGTTAAAAGATTTATTCCTACTTTTAAAGTAAAAAATCATGCCCGCTCATATCGCTGTAATCAAAATGCACTAAGGCATTCTTTTATCACTTCCTAATCTGTAGCATTGTTACAAGTTAATACAAAAAAATACAGTGTGAGTGTACAAAAGTGCGTGTATTGTGTGACTATGAGTTAATATAAAATAATTTTGATTTCGATTTATATATATAGTATAAATATTTACATGCCGGCAAAAACGCCGTTCTTCTATTTTATAAAAACATTTTTGTTGTTATTCCGATTTTATTAATTGCTGTACCAGTCTGCAGCACAAAATTTAGGAAATAAAGTGTATTTCTAAAATATTTAATCGTTTTTCTTTATTCTAATAGGTTGTGTAAGAATCGATAGATAATAAGAACCAAAGCCGGGCATTTTTACTATTTCTAAATGTTGTCGAGCGGTGATATTCTTAGCAAAATGTCGTGTCGTCATCAGTGTCAACACAGATTGAGTTAGGGCGGTACGAGCGTGAGAATTAGAGCTGGTTTTTCTTAGCTGACGCGTGTTGTACCTATTATTTCTTTCTTTGCTAAGAAACGATGCATGTAAAAAGACATAAAAGTACAGGTGTGGTTTTATATCAAAATTTTATATATAAATGACTATACAAAACCAGGTAATCCTCGTTATGCAAAAAACTTGGTACAAAAATTAATAAAATCACAAGGAAAGGAAAAAAATGCCATGAAATATCAAATATTACGAAACACAAGATAATCTTCTAGAACGGCGTCGTTATCGGCAACTTTAGTATATTTTGAGTACTGGGAAACTAGGAAACATATTTTAACATTTTAGATCAGAAGATGTATTATAAGTTCATGTATTGAATGACTTTAAGTTCATCAGACAGCACCGACATATATAACAGTTTAATAATAGTTTTCTTATTAAACGCTTTGATTGGCAATCTGACATAATTTATTGATGAAGTTATTTCCCTTTCAGTAACACTAGATCATTAGAAAAATACTATAACAATAATTTCATAATGTAAATATTTCATGTATTTAGGCACCTCGTATCAAAGGTACAAATTGTTTGCTTTTTGATGAATTGTTTTATATTGTGAGCTTATAAATTGGGATTGAATTCTTTTGTGTATTGAGTCCATCAGAATATTTACCGTAGTCTATACTCATTTTGATGTTACGTTTAGTGTATCTATTTTGGGCTACCATTAAATCATTTACTCTACAACCTTCGACTACGTATTATTTTACTTCGTCGAGCGAGAAGTTCGAATATAGGACATTCGAATTATACATTGGCCCTTCGAGTAAAATTTTTCAGTCTTACTCCAGAAAATTGCAAATTCCGTCTGACTTTATCATTAGTGAGTTTCGGGGATCTCTACATACAGACCAACAGTAATCTGCAAGCATAGCTTAGTTGAAATGACCTGAGTATTACTATAATATTCTGATGGAATCTTTTTTCATGCTCATCACTCACAACTCCACAACTAGGAAAGAAATTGAAGTGGGAACAGAAAAAGTGGATTTTAAGACATATTTAAACTGAGTTATTGGTGATTATAATCTGTTTGCTGCCTAAAAATCTACAAAGAATAGAGCAGCCCAAACATCTTTTTCTGTGCTTTCATGGCTCTGTCAAGTGCTCGATCTCTTTCTCTAATTGCATTCCAGTCTGCTTTTATATTATGTGAACAGCAGTGTTTTGGGTAGTGTAACTTTCGTTTGTATAGGTCTCTAACGACAAAATAATATTTTTCTCAAAAAAGCAGTCCACCCTGCTGATGATATCTGTAATGGGATACCCCGACATCACGTTGAACAAGATACCTTTATGTGTGGTTTACTATATTTTCTTTCAATCAGGATCATAATATGTGGAATATTTGTTTGATTTTTCTTTTTCTGCAACATTAACTTCATATTTTAATCCCAACTCATAATTTTTGCGGTGGAATAATGGAATATTCGGATATTGAACTACCTTTATTTCTTCATTAACAACCTTACTTTAATTATTGTGTCAAGAAGTACTAGCTATCAGTATAGTATTTACATTCTTTTTAACCATTCTCGTAATATAACTGAACAAGAGTTGTGAAAAATATGTAGTGCTTAAGCCTTGTCCTGGTCCCCTATTTTAATAATAAAATAATAAGCAGTTTTCCCAAGAGAGCCGAGGTTATGTCTCTGCTAAAAATGTTATTTCACTACATATATAACAGAAATTGTTCACTGAATTAACACAATTTTGTGGCATGTTGAATTCCACATAGCAAAGCGTTCTCAACAACAAATGTTGCCGTTTTAGCCTAAACTATGCACCAGTCGCAATATCAAACTGTCAAAAATAAAAAAATCAGTTATGATTATGAAAATTAAATCACCCGAATCTGAAAACATGTGCCAAAAATCAAGATAAAACTATATTTTAATCGAAATTAACAATTCCATCGTGATTAACTGGTTCAGCAAGCGGAAATATAAATAGAAACTAGCTATTTTTTAACCCGAAACGACACCGTCATTTTTGTTTATAGTTCTGAACTCTTGCAACGACTGAATGTCATAACTAGGGAAGGAGATACTTTAGAGGTAAAAATAAACACAAATAAAACAAAAGTAATCTATAACAAAGATATAGAACCCATACAAAGATTCCGGTATCTTGGTTGCTGGATAACAAAGGATCTTGACTACGAGCTAGAGCTACGAGTCTTTCAAAGAATGAAATTCTTATCAAACTCTATCTTATCATTGGATACTCTTATACGAGGTGGTAACATGGACTCTTGAAATTACAAGTATAAGGTAGATAGGAGCGTTTGAGATGTGGAAGGTTTGTTGGACAGAGCACGTGACCAACAATGTGGTGCTGACAAGCATGGGGACTGAGGGAGAGAACTCCTAAATATTGTAAACAAGATATCTAGAACATATTTACAGTTTAAAAAATACAACTGTCTACGACGTACAATGAAAGGGAAAGTGGAAGGAAAAATAGGTCCAAGAAAAAGAAACTGCTCGTGGTTAAAAAATGCAAGAGACTGAACAGCATTGACTAAGAACAGGTCAAGATAGAAAACTATTGGCAGTAATAATTGCCAACCTTCAGTAATGGAAAGGTACCTGAAGGAGAGAAGAGCCCGAAACAATTACATTATTGACAGTGACCAACTTTGAGACGTGACATTCAAGAGACCATTCTAATAATGAATATAAGTGACTGGTGTCCTTAAAAACCATATATTGGATTATTGCGAATTTACAAATATGTACAACAGTAGAACGATATACATGAATTACGAATATTTTGCAAAATAATGCCTCTGTTGCATATCAGTTGTATTATTTCAGTTACTACCAGAAAAAGTATATAACCGTTGACTATAAAATACGTTTATGGCAAGCGGCGGGTATACAATTTTAACATTTAGAAAGGCTATAACATTTCTTAATTTTATGGTTCCAAATTGTTGAATAGATATTACCCAAAGACTGATTTCTACAGTTTTGTCACTAGTATAGTGATTTTAACGGTTATATTTTTATCATTTCATTTAAAGTAGCTTTAAGATTACTTAACATATAGCAGTACTGGATAGTTTCTATAAATATTGACAATTGGAAGTTCAAGT